AGAAAGATTTAAAGTAGACAAAAGAGTTTATGGTTTTGAACATTGTAAGAATGAGTTTGAAATGGAATTATGTACAAGTGATGAACAAGTAATTGCTAATGTATAAACTTCTACTGAAATTTGAAAGACAAGAACAAGTGAAAGAATGTATGATAAAGTGAGCTAAACATTTTGGTTATAATATGCAGAGGGAACAATGGGAAAATGTGTGGTTGAAAGGATTAAAATTTACTTTATGTTATAATCTTAAAGAGATTTTTTATAAATGATGTACCATTGGTATATGTCACCAGAGAAATTGCCTAGAATGTATAAAGGCACTTCAAATTCATGTGGGAAATGTGAACAACAAGAAGGGACATTTTAACATGCTTGGTGGATGTGCAAAAAAGCTATAAAAAATTGGATTCAAATACATACACTGATTCAGAGGATTTTAAAGATTAATATTCAGTTGAGACCCGAGGTCTTTCTTTTGGGACTGATGGACAAGCAGTTGGAAAAAAGTCATGGAACTTTGTTTTTGTATATGGTAACTGCACCGAGATGATTGCACATAGGTGGAAAGATCTGGCAATACCTACAATGGAGGAATGGTTGGTGAAGATGGTGGAACTTGCTGAGATGGCCAAATTGACTTCTTTGATTAGAGAAAAGACAATATCTACATTTGTTGCTGACTGGAAACCCCTTATGGACTTTTTGGGGAACACACACAAAAAATGAACTTATGATTTATGGTTTTGATGATTAGACAGGATAGATTATAGAAAGAAGACAGACATGTAACTTTAGAGAAAGAGGTAAACTTGTAACTGTACTTGCAACTGCTATAAAGAAGATTGGAAGTCACTTCTTTATAACTTCTCTTCTCTTCTCTTCTCTTCTCTTCTCTTCTCTTCTCTTCTCTTCTCTTCTTTTACTTTTTTTCCTTTCTTGCACTTTTAGCTTTCTCTTTGATTTGTCTCCTTTTCTCTTTTCTTTCTTACTTTTTATTAATTTGTATTAGTTTTTATCTTCTTTTTAAAAACTTTTAATACAATCAAATATATCTATCATCTATCCAAAAAAAAAAAATATTGCAGAGCACTTTGGGGAAGAATCTCTGTAATTGTCATTGCATCTAAGCCGAATCTCAGTCTAACTTTACAGTACCCAAATTGAAACCTGCATAATAGTAAGGTTTACAGCTTCTTCTCAAAGAGTTTCTTATCTCTTCCCTCTGTGCAGATGCGTTCCTACCCACTGCTGAAAGAAACAGTGACCCTTCAGTGCACATCCCATCACAAGGAACCTTGTTGGGCATCTCTCAAGTGATCCAAGTGGGTTCCAAATGGAAGAGCATTGGACAATTCCTTGGGATCCCCTATGCAGCACCTCCAGTGGGAGAGAATCGGTTCCATCCTCCACAGCCTTTCACCTGGACAGACATTTGGAATGCAACCACAACCCGGTGAGAAGACAAATAACATAGACAAGAGTCATTTGCTTACGTATCATAAGCATATAAGAATTGGAATACCATCTATATCTAGTTTAGTATTCAGTCTCCAGGAATGCCTAATAAAACTTCTTTGGGGAGAACAGTGAAGAGGATGTATGAATTGTTGGCCTAACATCCATCCTGGCCCTATTAGACAGGTTGAAGAGGTGAGCAGAAGAATTACAGGACACTCTTATAGGATAGGAGATAGTCACTTATTCTAATCATAATGTTTTTATTATGTTATTTCTACTACCATGAGGTGGCACCATTTGAACTTTCTGGAGCTTTGAATTCCTTTCTAGTTAAAAGGTTACTCTAACTGAATGTAGGCAGTTAACTAACAAGATAGTGAAAGACAAGATATGTCACCACAAGGTCAAAGTCCTGTGAAGTTCTAGAACAACACATTGTAAGAAATGTGATTCTGTACAGTGAAAGTAGATGATATGTAATTAGAACTGCTTGTCCCACGGCAATTTTCTTTTATCCATAAAAGATCTGTTCATTTTATCTTGTTATATCTACATGTGATCTTTAAGTTGCCCGTATATTGACAGGTCAACCATTTCATATATTTAAAATACACACACACACACACACACACACACACACACACGCAGCTGCTAGGAAGAAGTTTGCTTAGTTATGTTGTTATTGATGTTAAGTTTGTTTTAAAACAAGGCCACTTAGCTAGATTATTTTCTGAAGGAAAAATTGCCAGTTTAACTCCTTGGGGAAAGGAACCAAGAGCTTGATATGGTGATTAATGACAGCCTGTAATGAGGCCCCAACCCAGACTGAAAACAGTCTTCTGAATGGTGCTCATAGCTGCTTTTTCCAAGTAATTTTTTTTAAAAGCATGAATAATGTAATCTTTACTTTGGTCCAATTCACAAGAAGATGCACCCTCCCAAGAGTGGACCACAGAAGGCTTACATAGATGGTTGAGCTTGTGTTGGGGTTTCCACGGAAGGAAAGCAACTGTACCAACTCTTCACGCTTGATTTTCCAGTGCTGCTTCTTAAAATGTTTCTAAAAAAGCAGTGATCTTTTTTGCCATTTGGTCTTGTATAGTATGATTGGATGGTTGAGGGAACTCCCATTTTTGATGACCTAATTTCTTGTGCACCTGAGTTTTGTGGGTTGAGGTGACTCAACCAGATTATGCTTACAGTTTACCACAAGAGAGGCCACATCTTGCTTATCCAGGTGCACAGGGCCATACAGTTAAGACCCACAACAGTGATGTTGTGTTGTCTTGAGCCACATTGTCATTCTTTATTGCATTCCTTTGCTTCAGAAGAAAAAGGTATATAGTTAGAGTCTACAGAAGCTAGATGTGAACGTACAGGTGTCTTTTTTTGTAATGGTGCAGAACTTCTAAGGAGATCAACCCTTGATTAGGTATAAATTATAAGCATTCCTTCTTGAAGAAAAGCTACATGAAACTGTTAATACTTAAGTATTTATGCAAGTGATCAAATTTTAAAGAGATATTGTGACAGCTCCTTGTACTATATACATTGTGCATAATCTGCAGCATCAAATTCTTTACTATGTCTTTATTATATTAATTATTTTAATAATGCTTTTATTGTTTATTATACAATAATGCTTTATTAATAATGCTTCTGTCTGTGAATTTGTTGTTTATGATTCTCAAATTATTTCCTTATCATGTACTTAGTATATTTGTTCTACATATATATATATTAAGTACATGATAAGGAAATAATTTGAGAATCATAAACAACAGAGTCCACAGACAGAAGCATTATTTGTTATTTAATTAATAACCTCCACAATATGATAAAGAATAACAGCAAAGGAGAAATCCCCTTTATATGATATTTACAAATTAAACTTAAACTTATCCCTTCTTAGCTTGACTCCTGTTAAGGGGTCTAGACTATTCCCAGGTACTTAAAACATTAGTTATCTATAGTTGCTGTAGTTCTGTCCTGGGATTTGGGATCACAGATGTGAAATATCTGAAGAGCTTTCTAGAATTCATCCATTTGTACAGAATCTCTATGTGCCCCCATGTTGGCTGCAATGATAGTCCAAATTGGCAGTCTAAATAGCTATGGGTCTGGCTCTGCTGTTTTAAGATTTTTGGGGGCTGCTGATGGATCCAGATGTGCAGCTTTTTTGATAGGTGGTAAAAAAAAAAAAAAAAAGGAGTTCAAATTTCTCTGATTGGGATGCCCTCCAGAGATATACACTTCTGTTCCCAGAATTCTCAGCAGTGGCCACACTAACTGGGGAATTCTGGGAATTAAAGTCATGCATCTGGAAGGTGCTCAGATTGGGGGAAGCTGCTCTAGATGATACTTTAAAATTGAGTTTGCATGGCCTCCACAACCTTACTCCTTTGTTTCCTCATTATCACTAGAACTTTAAGCAAGCCATAAAGTACTTTATTGTATCTTTAGAGCTAGCTGCTGGCAGCCAGGGGATGATACCAGCCTTTCTTCTGTCAGTGAAGATTGCTTGTTTTTGAACATCTTTGTCCCACAGAACAATGTAAGTACCGGATCAGTAGACTATATTAGAGTCAGTTATAGTAGACTCTGACCATTCCCTCATTCTAGGAATCTACTCAAGGGAAGGACCATGGGATGAGGTTGCTAAACCCATTGATGATAGGACCTTTTTGGATCTGTCCTTACATAGTCATGCAATGTCATGGTCATGTTTAGGGAAAGAAAGTTTGGGGGTGAGTAGCTGATGAAATTAGGAGACTTGGACATTAAGGATTTTGATTGTGTAGAAGTCTATGTGTCACATTATGAAGTCCTTTTAGGGCTGAATAATATGTTGCGGACAGGGATGTTCATGGGGTGTGGTCAAGATGGTCAGGATGGTGGCCGCAATGGTGTGATCAAAGCTCTGCCCATTTGCACATAAATAATACTAGGTTGGGAGACCACCAGAAAAACACAGAGGTATAAATTAGACTGGGAAGTTAAAACAAAATGGAAGAAGGCAATTATGAATGACTTATATATCATTGCCAAGAAAACAGAGTGATTTGTTTTCTCTATCCAACATACATACAGTTGTAATACTTTCTTTTCAATACTATTGAATGTCATATTGTCATTGTTGCTGTTTTACTGTTATGATGTGCCTATTAAGAAAGAAGATGTAACAATTTATACCAGACAGATAGACAATATCCCAATTCCTTGAACCTCTTTGACAGTTTAAAAAACTTCCAGATTTCCTGGCCACCTGCTCCTGCTATTTCATTTTTATGCCCAGCTAATTAAGGCAGGACACCATGACCTTGGTGTGAAAAACAGTTCAATTGGGACCCGAAAGAGTTTCTTCAATCACATCCAGGGCCAGCTAAAATGTGAAGTGCAGTCAAATGCATATTTCACCCCACCATTTTTAAAAAATCAAAGCAGTTCTGAGAATTTGGGAGTGGGAAGAACAGCAGGGCATGGGATGGTGCGTGTCTGATGAAGTTGCTTCACATTCATGAATTTAATGTTTCTCGAACCTCAAACTCTTTAAACCACACTTTAGCTGAATGGAAACTGATACTAAGATTCACCTGTGCAGTGGGTGGAATGGAACATTAGCCCTGACCTATTGGAAACCCTGCAGCTTTTTCAAGAGCTAAAACAGAAGACATAGTCCTTTGGATCTGAAAGCAGAAAGGAGCTTCAGAGTGCACAGGGGTACAAACAGAGTGCCTCTTTAAAGCAGCTGCATCTTTCCCCAGGATTGCGTGACAGCCCTCTGTCAATTATCCCATGATCTCAGGAAAAGATAGGCTTGGTTTAAGAAGCCACAGACAGTTGCTACATTCATGTCCCTGCTCATTCTAAAGCTCCTTTATGCCTTCAGAAGTGAAGCTCAGCAAACCTGGCTAAGGTTTTCTGTTTTTGCTGTTGTCCATGATCCACCATTCAAGGGATTCAGTTCTGAACACTTGAAGTGGTTGTGGAGGAAAGAGAGAGGGAGGTGTTAACTGGATCTTCTGCTTTTTCCCCAACTTAACCAGATGAAGAGGGTTATTTTTTAATTTTGGAGAGAACGATTGCTTTGAAAAGATAGAGGGGGAAGACTGTGTTAGTCTGTGGCAACAAAACTGAACTCTGCTAACACCTTCAGAACTAAACAAATTTATTAGGGCATAATTGTATGCCTTCAAATGGAAATTCTTCATCTGTGGAGACAACCAGGATATATTTAAATTCCACACAAATGCAAGTCCTTGGCCATGAATTAGTGTGTCCCTTAGCAGATTCATCTCACACCAGAATCTCACTTTCTCTAGTAACCCCTTCAGAATTCAGTGGAGCACATGGGTTAGCAATCTTTTCAGGCCTTGGGGTTCACCATGCAATGCTGAATATGATCATTTAGGTCAGTGTTGTCCAAACGTGGCCACTTTAAGATGAGTGGACTTCAACTCCCCATGCTGGCTGGGGAATTCTGGGAGTTGAAGTCCACTCATCTTAAAGTGGCCATGTTTGGACAACACTGATCTAGGTAGAAAGAGAAAAGAACAGAAAGGAAAAGGAGGGAGGGAGGAGGAACAAGATTCCCATGTTCTTGTATGAGATTTCTTGCAAGCTGTCAGCATTCTCCTTACTGAAATTATGCAGTATGTAATTCTGAAATCTTATAAGGTGTCAGTGATTGGGTGTGTAGGATCTCCATGAATGTGTGGTCATAAATGGGAAAATTACAGACAAATGCCCTAGAGCTGGGGTGGGGGATAGCATCGTCCTCCCCACCATATTATTGTCTGTCTGTCTGTCTGTCTGTCTGTCTGTCTGTCTGTCT